ATTTGGATGTGGAGATGCCAGCTGTGGGGCTTTCAGTTCAGTTGGGTTAGTTGTGATTTTGGTGACAGAGTTTTCCTGGGTTTGTAAAATGGGTTAAATTTCTGGAATTTGGTAGCTGGTAACACAGAGTTTTGAATCTTTCCTTCCTAAGTTTGTGTCTTTTCTGGGCAGCTCTGTAGTGATGGACTCTGTTACACTTGTGATTTAGAACAAAAGTGCCAGTGAGCACACCACTACATTATACTTCCAAATGTCAGCAGCACAGCCAGGTTCTTTACAGTATGGATTCTAATACCATGGCTGTTGCTTGATGTGGGTGTGGCTACTTTATTCCTGTGGGTTTCCAGGGTCCCTAATTCAGGGTTTGGTGTTTGCTTTCATCTCTTACGCAGTTTGTTTCCAGAGCTTTCAGTCAGAACAAATTGACACTTTACTGACTTTCTTCTCGGTATCAGAATACTCTGTGGAAATTTTCAGGGTATCCCCTTTTACATTGGTCTTTTCTTTCTTCCTATCTTATATTGTTTGAATTTTTGAGTTGTTAGTAAGATCAGCTTTATGAAGCAGATTTTTAAAAATTTATTTTTATTGTTTTGTGACCAAGACTGGCACAGAACTCACTATCCAGTGAAGAATAAACAAAATATCTGAGCATTCTTTCTTCCCAAGTATTGTGATAACAAATGAGCATCACTACATCAGATTTTTTGTTGTTGTTGTTGGTTTTGGTGCTAGAGATGCAGTTGAGCTACATTCCCAGCCCCTAGTTTGTTTATTGGCTACTGTTTTTTGAGACAAGTCTTCTTGTGTAGCCTAGGTTGGCATCAAGTCTTGCCCCAGCCTGGCAGATGCTGTGGATATGTGCTGGCTGTCAGATGGCTACTGTGTGCATGAGGTGTGTGTGGTGCAGTGCATGCTTCGGAGCCCAAGAAATTACTTGGAGTGTTGCTTCTTTTCTTCTATCCTTATATTGGTTCTTAGAATGGAATTTAGGTCACCAGGCTTGCTTCCAGGTGCCTTTATTCACTGAGCTATATTGTCAGCTCTTCAAGATTTTGCTTTTTGAGGTGTGGCAAAGGACTTGCATGGTGATGACAGTTAGTGCTTGAGTATTGAGAAGCATTACGTCTTCAATGGCAATTTTCAGAAACACTGGAGGTAGAGGGTAAAAAGCAGCAGTGACCAGTTTCTTTCAGCACTGGTGGCATTTTGGGCCCCCTGATTGGTGAAGAGCTGCACTGTGTAATGAAGGATATTTAATATCGTCTTTCTTCAGACACAGGATGCTACTAGCAACTGCCTCCCATTTGTTCATGTCTCCAGATGTGCCAGATGTCCCTGTCAAGTTGCTCTGTTTGAGAGCCACTGGTCTTGGATGCGAGCCAGAGGAATGTGCTATATTAGAAATACCATGCTCTTCAAAAACATCTTGTATATGTTTGCACTGCTGGAGATGGAAAAGGCATGAGCATGCCAGGCTCCCTTCTCCCATTGAGCCCTGTAAAATGACAGCTGGACACACTGTTTTTCTTCTGTAGTATAAACCTGTAAGCATTAATTTAAATGTCCTAACTTACAAAAAAAAGTCTAATGCCTGGATAGGAGTTTGAATTATCCCATCCTTGCTGTCTGTCATGTTGAAAGAAAGTGACAGATGACATTTGGGTCTGGGCAGGGCAGGTATATAAAATGTTTCTAGATGGCAGAAGTGTTGTTTGGCTGTCTAGCAATTCCAGTATTGTATTTGGTCTAGGACACCTTCTTAAACAAGTGTTATTGCATTTGCATTTGCTCTGTGTTAGGGAAATGTGTACCAGATTGTCTTTGAAAACTTTTTTGAGAAAATGTTCCTTTAGTAACAGATGGAGTCAGGTGTGGGCTGCCCTTCTAAAGTTAACTTATTCTGATGTAAGTCCTCCATATAGATTAATGTTTTATCCTAAGACCCCCTTTGCTCTTCCAGTATTAAATATCTACTTTTGGAAGAAAGGCCACTGCTGTGTCTGGGAACTTGTCTTCCCCAGGTCTCCTTGGAGGAGAGCAGGGATATGGGAATAAGCATTGAGATGTGGGGCTGAGAAGAACTAGCTTGTATTTGTCGCTACCATTGGATTCCATGGTAAACTGGATTTGTGACTTGAGTACTTGGAATTCTGTAATTTCAAGAGCATTCATCTTGGCTACACTGGGAGAAAAATAGTTATCTTTGAAGGAGGTTGCCCTCTTTCTTCCTTGCTACAAGTGTGAACTTGACCATGTTTTAGGTAGCTGGAAAGCTTCCAGTGCTGTGGCAGTGAGCGTTGTGTCATGCCTCTTTGAGCCCAGTGCCTAAGCACCCTTCCGTAGGGCTCAGTGCCTAAGCACCCTTCCGTAGGGCTCAGATGGGATAATGAGCACATGGGAGGCATACACTCAAGGTTTTGGAATCTAGACCATCTTGATGGATGTGACCCATCTCTTTGTTTTTTAGTCTTACTACATAATATTTTGCTTTAAAAAATCATATAATTTTATTTATGAAAATATTTTGTTTGAAGCAAAAAAGATTGCTAAGCCAAGGGATGGATGAGCCCAGTTACCTCTAGGCAGGGCCTGGAAAAAACAGGCCAGGGTAGAAGAGGGAGGTCTCTGGGACCAGATAGTCTGTTGACTATTCTCACTACCCCAACTCTTCGGTTTGGCCGCATATAGCTACTTCACAGCTATGACAAAGTTCATGGTTATATAAGCACAGCCCTCTTTTAGTAGTATAGTATAATTTGCTTTCTATTTTTGGTATTTTCTTTCTGTTGTTTATTGGTGTTGTTTTGTGCTTAAAGTTGGCTTGAAATTTGGGGATGGGGGTATTCCCTAGCACAGATTTGCTGCCAACTAAAAGCCTGACTCTGAGGTTCTTAGCCAGTGGTTCCATCCTGCAAGTTTGCAGAGCAGTAAGAGGGGTGTCATGCTGTGGTTGTCTGTTCCGCTCTGTGCAGTCTCTTTCCCTCTAATCAGTGCTGTGCCTAATGACCCGAGGCAGGCTTGTGTTCGCTTCACTGCTTCTTCGAAGCTGGACGTGGCTCGTGCTTGCCACGTAATGATAGTAATTGCTAGTAGGGCAGACCTGGTCTTCATCCTCCTTAGAGCACATTTCTTGTGGCAGGTGTCTCATTCCTAATTAAGTGCTAATGAGCATGCCTGGCGGACCGAGATGCTACCGCCAGCTTCTTCAGTTTCGTGTCTCACTGTTGCTGAGCTCTTAAGAGGTGACAGAGCAAGAATTAGTGTCTTTTGGATGACGGGAAGGTGCTTTTACATGTAAAGAAACTGTGATTGTGATCTCAAGGGGAGAATGAGTAATTTATAAATAATTTCCAAAAACATTATTAATGATGTCTGTTTGGACCTCGCCTGTTTCCATTTGCCCCTCTGATTAAAACAAATTCGCTTAGGAAGGAGTGGCTGTTTGAAAAGAAGGTGGACTCCTAAGGATTTTTAAAGGTGTTGAAAGTGGTTGAAAATTTACTGTGAAAAACCACTGTTTTTCATGATTTAGATGTTGTTTTTGGTTTATTCTTGAGGGTAAGGCACACATCTGAAACGCAATTAAAAATGAATTGTGGTATGGGTGGAAGCTACTGAACTCATCTCTGAAGAGTTCAGTATTCTGTGTGTTCCATTGAGGAGTAGGCACTAAATAAACAAGCAGTTCAGTCCTGAGAAATAAACACAGATTAGAATCCCCAGCGTTTCTAACGTTACACCTTGGACACTGAGATTTAGCTGTTTTTACTGTCAAAAACAAATTCTATATTGGACAGCTGAGACACATCCAGATAGATGGTTCGGGGTCATTTCTTTTATATTTGTTTAAGCAATACATAAGAGCAAGAGTACGGTTTCTTATGGACAAGTTTATAACTTCTGGATTGGATTAGGTAGTAGAGGCAAAGTGAACATCAGAAAAGGAACCTGGGAATGGGGCACTTGGGGCCTTCTAGAACTCTGCAGTCAGAAGCGTGTTTCTCAAGGTTCCAACCTGTTGGTCTCAGCACTGTTCTGTATGAGGCAGAGGTATGTGAGACTTCGTTTCAGGAAGGAGGTTTGGGTGAAAGGAATGGCTGAAAGAAGTTGACTCCAGGGTTTTTTGCAGCAGTCAGAAAAGTATTGTGTAGAGTAGTATGGGGGCAGCTGTAGAGCTCACTGACGCTTCCCCTCACCTAGTGAGCCTCAGCAAGTTCCTGAGTGCCATGAGTGAACAGTTGCTTCTGAGAAATGGGGATGCCATTGCTTCCTTACAGTTCTTGGAGGGTTTGGGGAGTTAAGGACACAAGCACAGGTGTCTTCCAAAGGCCGGTGCTTCTTGCTTTCTGAGTTCTGACTTTAATTCACAGCATCACTGTGACAGTTAATGTTGGGTGAATTGTACTTATCTTCTAAATAGTGTGGTTACTTCATTGTGGCATACTTGCCATGTCCCCTGATGATAAACTGCAGTCAACTCAAAAATCAGCTTACAGCTTAAATTCAGTGACACGCTGGAGATCCTCCTTGTAGGCACTTAGGTAGAGATGAGATCCACACGTGAATCTTCTAAAGTAGCCAGGCTTGTCTAATAATGAACTTTCAGTGTCCAGGTTGGTTACAGCGCAAAGTGGCAGGTGTAGTAGACTCCAGGGTTAGATTTGGGATTGGCTGGGGGGTGAGTACTGAGGGGCAAGGCTTTTGATGAGTTGAAAGCACTAACCTCATTTCCTCTTTTCCTACCTCTGTCTCCATTCCCTTCTCTGTGTCCAATTTCTGGTTCTTTCTTACATCTTCTATTATTTCGGACTCTCTCCTGGATGATGTCTCTTACCACCACCACCTCTTCATCCTCTTCCTGTCCTTCCTCCTCCTCCTCCTCTTCCACCTCTTTTTCATCTCCTCCCCCTCCCCCTCCTCCTCCCCCTCCCCCTCCTCCTCCTCCCCCTCCCCCTCCCCCCTCCTCCTCCTCCTCCTCCTCCTCCCACTGCCAACAGCAGCAGCAGTTGCAAGCTCAACATCTCTCTCATGGCCATGGACCCCCCGTACCTCTCACGCCTCACCCTTCAGGACTTCAGCCTCCTGGCATCCCGCCCCTTGGGGGCAGTGCCAGCCTTCTAGCGCTGTCTAGTGCTCTGAGTGGGCAGTCTCACTTGGCAATAAAAGATGACAAGAAGCACCATGATGCAGAACGCCACAGAGGTGAGAGGCCGGGCAAGCCAGATTAGGCTTTGCCCTCATACTCAGACAGTGCCGCAGAGCTGTGCCTCGCTGTGGAAAGCCCCAGCCCTCCCCCCCCCCCCCCAGAGTGAGATAACAGGAGCTGTCGAAAAGCTTTCCACTGACACTCAGTTCACCCTGCCACTCTTCAAGGTTTGCTGTGGGCAGCTGTGGGGGTTTCTGTCTTGCTAGCCTGCAGGCATCTTGACATCTTGGTAACTGCCTTTTTAATGCCAGTGGCCTGTACCATATTATGGAGAACTGTTAACTGCTTAATTGGGTAATTTTCAAAGAAAGTGATGTTTGTTAAATGGGGTGAAATAAGAACTTAAATTTGAAAGTGAATGTGTTCAAATGAAAGGCTTGACAGTTGCATCTGTTACTAGTTTTGTAGGCTTTAATCCTAGTATGCATTAAATATTGGGCAAATTGCACTTGACTAATTTTTTGAAGAAAAGTAATTTATTCTGTCAAGAAATTAAAAATAGGCTTTGTGTATGGTTAAGCTGTAAATCTTATGTTTACAAAATACTGTAATTTTCAGGAAATCACTGTATTAGGAATGTGCAATGACTTATATAAATAAAGCCATTTTTAAAACTGCCTGGGGCCTGTGTTCTAATTATTCCCCCCTTTTTTTATTTCTGTTCTTGCCTCTGTGTCTGAACGGGCGTGTCTGTGCGTTTCTTGGTAACTTCGGGAGCAGACAGAGAGCCGGGCACGGTAAGTACCCCAGCGCCTGTTGCACATGAACGCAGACCCAGTTGCGTCCCCAAACTGCCTTTCTTGAACACAAGCACCAAGCAGACACACAGACGCCCCGTGTGTAGTGACCTGGGTTCCTTCTGTTTTCTTTTTAAAGATCACTCTATTTTTGTGAGTTCTTGCCCTCTCGTCTCTTATAAACCTGGCCTTTGAGGAGAGGTGCCTGCTTTACAAGTCAAATCATTTGCTGTGATTCCTTACTGCTCAGTGTATAACCCAGGTCTAGTTAAGTGAATACTCATTTTTGTCTTAGCATCACGTTTACCGTTACTACCCACATGTAAATTGCTGCTGTTTCCATCTCAATAGTTCATTTCCCTCTGTGAATGCATCTTAGCTGCTAATTTTCCATGTCTGTTTTCTTCCTTTGTTTTTTCTTCCATAATTATTGTTCAAGAGTAAACTTGATCTTAAATTTCCTTTAGACCTAAGACTGCATCTAGTAGTAACTTCTTAAAAACATGGAGCTTCCAAGACAGGGCTGTGTGTTTATAGAGCTCATCTTTTCACAAGCCTGAGTCATACATAGCCTTTCATGTGCTTGTACTGTCTTGCACATGCCAGTTAATGGAGGGCAGACACATTTTAAGGATGCGAAGTGAGAACCTGCTCTGTTGAATGAAGGTTACCTACAGATTGTTCCTGTTTATTCCCATTTGTGAGCACAGAGATATGTTGACCATTCAAGCATGCTTAAAACAGAAAGAAATGGGACACGGAATTTTAAATCCCTCCCTCCCTTTCTTTTTCCTGTCTTCCTTTTCTTTCTGTGCGAAGAATTGCACCAACAACCTCAAGCATGGAAGGAGAATTGTATATAGGGAGACTCACTCCCAATACTGTTTTCCCCCCTCTAACCCTCCCCATGGGTATGGATGTAGAGGAAAACTTGGAATTCTATTACTTCCACAATGTGGGTCCCAGGAATTGAACTAAGGTTGTCAGACTTGGTGGCAAGTGTCTTTACTTACAAACATACACACACGCACACGCACACCCTTTAAAATCATGAGATACATCTCACATTGTAGCCCTCGGTCACAGGTGTGTGCCAACATCTTAGACTTCTTTTGAGAGTTTAAGAAGAAGATTGCACTTTGGCAAGCTCAGGATCCCCTGCCACCTTTTCATTTAGAATTGGTACTGCTTTAAAAGTTTTCTTTAGGATAGATATCGCTGTGCTTCTCACATTGTGATTTGTTTAGGGGTTTGGGTAATTATGAAATGGAGATGTAGTTAGGTTTTACATTATTATGGTATAGGGTTTTCTAGGTGGTTTTAGGAGGAAGGGAAGACAGACAGAAACTTTAATTGAGAAATACCTGACAGACACGGGTGTGAGGTTGACTAAATTGGATTTGATTTATGAAATGACTTTCCTTTTGCTAGTTTGGTTCCGTTGTCATCTTGTCTTCCACATTCATTCAGTAGAGTGCAGCACTTTAAAACCCCAGCATTGAACCTACAAGATCAGCAGAAGAGATGATGCAGGGCTGGATTGCATGGTTTTCATCAGAATCCATTTTATTTGAGAGGGGACTTTTCTAATTTAATATGTGTCTCCTCTCTTAACTACCCTTAAACCTTAAGTAAATGCCTTCATTCAGTACTCCCTACACATAAAGCATCTACAGTTAGGAGTATGTAGCTATGCAACAAAGGCGTTTATTTTGTGTGCCAAGGATAGGACAAGTAACAGAAATGCTAAAAGACGCAGCTGTGATGTCACAGCTCTGCAAGTGTTTTATTGGCTCAGGACTTAGAAATACTTTCTGTAGGAACAGCTTTGCATGCTGAAGCTGCTAGAAGCTTTACCTGTATGCAGTTTCTCCAGTGGCCACTTACTCATAATTTTGGCTGAAAGATGCATAGAAGTGCTTAATCATTCGAGGAGGCGGGGTGTGGTAGGAAGGGATCAGCTGCACACACCAGTCTACAAAATAATACAAAAGAAGTGGTGGCTTGTGTCCTTTAGCTTGTCAGATTTTTGACATGCTTAGAAGTTTATGTATGTATGTCTACTGTTTCCTGCCTAATAACAGCAGTCTGGGGTGGTGAGATAAAATTGGGAACTTTAGTTTAGTCTATAGAGGAGTTAAGTCATTCTGTTTACCTTAGTTTGTTTTTGATACAGTTATATAAAATAAACTAGCTTTTCAACTTGGCATAAAATTGAATATAAGAAGCAGTGGGTAATGAGATGTGTGTAGTCTTAATGCCTGAAATATTGTACTATACTTGATAAAGTGCTTGGAGTTGTGAATCTGAGTTTATCTGAGTTTACTTGGCACTTTGCTGCTGTCTTCCTTCACCAGAGAGGTGGAGGTGGGTTACTACAGGCTGCCGGTTTCAAACTGATCTGACCCAGAGAGGTGAAGGTGGGTTACTACAGGCTGACGGTTTCAAACTGATCTGACCTAGGGTTTCTCCTTTTTAATTAAACTCACTTCGAACCCCTAAGGATTTGTTTCTTTTGATGATATACTTTGACATTTACAAGATCAGAATAAAAATTTTTAAAAATTAGATACAGAGCTAATTAGTTGTATTAGTTACTTTTTAATCTTAATGAAAAAGCAACGTTTTCTTTAAAAAGGACTTTTAATGGATGAATTTGCTTTCACATATTTGCAAATTTCTCTAATGCTGGCTTAAAAGAAATGACTAGGTTCTGATAAATCTCTGTATTCAACCTGTAATACAGTTGCTTCTGGTTGTCATTCTTAAGAAAATTTGTGTGAAGAGATTGTGGGGTGGCGGGGGAGTTTTCTTCAGTCTAACTCAGACAACTTGAGCCATGTCACTGACACCTTACTGCTGTTTTTCCTGTTCTATTATATTAATATTTTTAAATCAAATGTAAAAATGGGTAGACCCACAGCGAATGGGATATGGCTTACAAATGTCTGATAGGTGCTTTATCTTTATCTTCCAATGATAGTATTATACAGTTTGCTTGTTTATGCTTTTAGGTTAGAAAACAAATGAACCTTAGCATAGGCAGTGTGTTGTAATGTAAAAGCATAAAAATTAACATACTAAGAACAGAATGTTCCCAGTGGAGGAGCCAGAAGGTAATAACCATGAAGGGCTTGTAGCATACTTACTGGATTTTCCTTGTTGTCATTGTTTTGTTTTAAATTTCACATGTAATTCTCAAAATGTGTTCTTTGCCCGCCTGGCTTTTTTTCTTTTAATTATTTTGTGTGCAGATGTTGGTGGACACAGGTATGTGCCATGGTGCACATGGAGAGGTCAGAGGACAGTTTGTAGGAGTGGGTGCTCTCCATCAAGTGGGTCCAGGGATAAAACTCAGGTCCTTAGTCTTATCAGTAAGCTCCACCTTCTGAGCCAACTTGCCAAGCCCACCTCAGACTCATGCTAGGTCACCTGCCTTCACCTCCAAAGTGTGGGGACTGCAGGCAAGAGCCTATCTTGCCTGTTTGTTGTTGTCGTTTTCCTTTCTAATTTATAAGCTTTTTGTAGGTAAGTACAGCTGTTGAACAAGTAAATAATATTAGAGGCGGGCCATACTCAGTGTATGAATGTTTGCCCACACGTATGTGCACCACGTGCCTACCTCTTCCCTGACCCGGGCCAGAAGAAGGCATAGATCCATTGGAACAGACACAGCGGTTATGCCGTGTGTAGGCCCTTGGAACCAAACATGGGTGCTCTGCAAGAGTAGCAACTGTTGTTAGCCGCCGAGCTATTGATCATTTTATATACTATATATATATATAAATTAAATGTTTTGGTTGGTTTAAAGGTGACTTGCATTAAATTTTGACCAAAAAGCATAGTACATAAACGCATCTACTTGAAATACTTGGCATTGGAGGACCAACAAATAGTTATATGCCTTTAAAAAGAAATGGTACAGCAGTCCAGATGTGGTAAGTGCACACTTGCCATCCCAGTAAGGGCGGGTTCTTCTTACTTTTCAAATACAAGCAGGAGAGCCAGCACCACGGTCCAGCGGGGAAAGATGTTTCATGACCTGAGACTTAATCTAACACATGGACCCATGTGTTAGAAAGAGAGAATTGACTTCTGCAAGTTGTCTTCTGACTGCTACATGCATTCTGTGGTGGGTGTGTACCCCTGCCCCTAAGGGTACCTGCACATACTCAGAAAATAGAAATACTTTAAAAATCTGAAATACACTTGGGCATGTGATAGCCATGTGTCATCCGTGAAGCTCATCTAACAAGCAGGCGTGCCTGGTCCAGTACATCTGCTTTGTTGAAAGTAAGCAAGGAAAGCAAGGACTGTTTTCCCCAACTGTTTGCAAATTAAATTTTGACTGCATTTGTAAAGAGATGGCTAAAATTGAGATGATTCCTGTAAAATGTTGTTGACTTGCAAGCACAGTAGGAAACATGAACCAGTCTTAAGCAGTTGCTGCTCTGCACGTAACTGTTTCAGCAGAACTTAAAACTGCTTGGAAAAAACTAACTTCGCTGCTGTGAATTAACTCACGAAGGAGGCAGGCCTGGTGATCTTAGGTGGCTGGGGTTGGTTTGTGCCAGTGACAGGTGGGGTTGGGACTTCTTTAATTAGATGAGTGCTGAGGCCTGTGCCACCTGGGAAAATATTTAGGTCTGTTCCACTGTGATTATTACAAAAACTGGTGTCTTTCATCCACAGCCAGTCGGGTTTTGGTTTGGTTTTTTGTTTGTCTGTTTAGGTGTATAGGTGGTTTACCTGTTTGAATGGCTATGCACCACCTGTGAGCCGAGTGCCCTCAGAGGCTAGATGGCATTGGATCCTGAATTGAAGGTGGTTGTAAGCTGCCATCTAAGTGCTAGGAAATGGACCCAAATCCTTTGCAAGAAGAGCCAGTGCTCTTAACTACTAAGCAGTCTGTCCAGTCCCCATAGCCAGTTTTAGACTTAAGTTTGTGTCTTCTAATTCAAAGGCATTGTGAGCAGACATATGGTTCTTCTCTTTGCCTG